AAAATAATTGTGATTTTGGAGTTCCAGCAAATTTCACACCCATGCAAAGAAACCTAAAACAGACCCTTCCACTGCGGTTTCGAAGGCTCCGCAATGTTTGCATTCTGTAAGCTGCAACCAATAAAAATCGCCAATGCGACAAACATCTTCAGATGTGAGCATGGAATGTGGGCAGCACTAAATGAAAACGTAGTACATATAACGTATATGTCTAGCAATTAAAGGTTCCAACGATCAGAAAGACCGCCTCCTACCTCCACCACTGCCCACGCAAGAATTGCCGATACGTGTTTATGAGCCCTCCAGCAACAAACCAGTAGTAGTTGCGACACCTCGCCCGCCATCTGAACGCAATCTCCGCTCGTTGCAGAATTGGCTACAAAAGGTTCGTACTGAATTAAGCTTTTAATGCACAGCTAAAGGATATGGTTGTTTTGGATGGTAGACAGAAAGCGAGATGATAATATTGGAAGGCAAATCTAGGTACTTTCGACAAAGAACACTATGGTGCGTATTAATTAGTTGAAGAGTACGGAAAAATGCGAAAAAAAAAACAGGAACACACACCCATTTTTCTCCAGTGCTTCTTCTGGAATATAGCCCTCGGGCGACATTGAGTGTACCACTGGTGTCACCTGCAATAAACCAACTATCTCAGGCTTCAGCAAGTTTATGTGATGTATTTGACCATATTATGGACGAACTAAGGCGGAAAAGAGTAGTGGCAAGTAGAACCTCCTACCATGTTGCGGGAATGCCGCGGATCGTTTCCGCATCAGGCCAAGCGCAAGTCTTTTTACGCTCCAGAGACAATAATAGGTGGCCAGATTCGTTTGGTGGTTTAGCAAACACTGACTTCCTACATCATGCTTCCACCCGCCCCTTCCCCCCAACAACAATTGTCTAGGCTATTAAAAGGATAAAGGATAAAGTCTTCGCCGTTGATCAATCCCTTTGTGGGATGCGGCACGCATTCTACTTCCATTCAGAATCGTAGTGGCTTATTGAATGCGATGTGGCCTATACAATGACTTGCGGTGGCCAGCCGATGTACAAGTCAGTGTTTTATCCTCCCAGACGAATCTGGTACCAATTCACCGTCCCCGGAGGTAGAAGGCTTGGTTGGCCTGGGCGGGAGTCGACCCGGGATTCGAACCCGGGACCGCGCGAATGGTGAGCGCCCCACTTGTCACTACACCATCTCCGCCTCGTCTACGGCTATATCACATTCCAAAACTCTACAAACTATTGCTAAATGGGAACAAGTAATGGCGCGCCGCATCTCAAAAAAGAAAGATAGGTCTTTCGGCAGAAACCAGCTGTGTTTGAACAGCTTTGGCAGTTATCTCCTGTTTATGCGCTGGGAAACTAATAGCGAGTGATAGATGGAAGGAGACAGGCGACATAAGCCTGTGGTGACAAAAAGCGACAGACAAAAACTGATAATGGATTGAGAAGTAAGCGTCGTCTCACCACATCGGCTCTAATGGTGGCAGTTTTCTCAGGCCATAATTATGTTGCTGCAGTGAGCTGTGATTTCATTCCATTGAAAGTGGGAAATCATAGCAATCTACTTACCACTGCAGCCACATCGAAGCATAGAGGAATCAGACGCTTCTGTAAGAACGGTATCCACCACTGTTGAAGTTCCGAGCTAAAAGGAAAGTACAATGTTCAAGGAAAGGATGGGGAACAGTTTGTTGGAACATCTATATCTACCTCATTTTCTTGAAATCAATGTTCCCCAGAAGGAGGGCTATTGTGTTCATCCACGGATGGATAGAACTGCAAGTGATATTCAACTGAAAAAATGGGACTTCCCATGAAAACTTTTACGCTACGAACGTTCGAGCAAAACTGACCAGGTTCTCTTGGGTTTTCTTTGTGTTTTCTTCGCAAACGTTTTACGAGATATTCCAGTAATTCTTTCATCGATGCCTCATGACAGTTCACATAAAACTGAAACATTTGGTGAAAGAGTAGGTCAGGGCCGGTGCTTATCCTCTGAGTGGCCTGCCAGTCTAACATACGAAAATTCGAATGGGGAGTTGTACGTCGAAACTGGTGAGCCAGCCAACACTAATAGTCAACTGGCACTCGTTCACGAACCTTGCAATAATGTCTACACTACATCGCACGTTAACATGACATGTACACTGTAAATCACTGCGACGTTGGGGCGTGTCAGGCAGCATGAGTGTGCCACGGTGGAAAACCCGTCCTCTGTGCCAGCTATTGAAGTTTGTGTGCGCGACAACAGTTGTTGGGAAAGCAGCGATTACCGAACGGCGTGATTACAGGTCTTTTCGCGTTAGCTCGCTTCAAAAAGCGTGTGGAGAAGAGGTTGGCATGCCGCGTAAGCTCAGATCGCGCCTGACGCGTCGCACCGTCCGCAGTGAACTACATATTACTTACCTGCATTCTATACACCAATCGCTAATGTTAATTGTGGCGGGAGCGAATCGATCCATCACATCTCTACAGTTTCCACATTTGAAAGCGTGGAAGTCCTGAAACAGGAAAAATAACTAGCCACTTTCGTCAGGCGCATGTTGAAAGGTAGCTAGAAGCTTGTGACCTAGGTTGCCCACACCCAAGACGCAGGGTCCCCGCCCACTTCAAAACATACTCGTTTCGATGGGACAACAATTGGTAGAGATCACGACTGTAGAAGTGACGTGGTGCAGAAAGAGTATCATAATGTACACACTATCATTGCACTGTCAGCACACTATTCGCCGTATACTCGTCCACTGGAGAGCCAAAAGGTTCTCATTTGAAGGGAAGCTCGACTTTTTGGCACTTTGTCAGCTTTTTCTTCTGGATACGTCATTCAAGACCAGTTCTATATCTGAACGTCATTCATCGCTCATCCTAAACATAAACCGCCTGTGGCCGAAAGCTTCCATACACAACACTGGAAAAGTCATAGGAGGACACATTTTGTAAATGGAACAAGTCTTTCAGCTTCCAGCTTGATAGAACACCCTCAAGAGCTTAACTAAACATGTGAAAAAGAATTTTGAAGAAATATAGTAGTAACTCACAAATCCTTCCACAACAGGGAGTTTTTTGAGAATTTCCAAAGCTGATATCTGACACAACTGGAAGGAATCATCGAGACAGGAAACCAATGCAGCGAACTGATGAGGCGTTATAGTTTTCGTTAGAGTAAGCTGATCAAAGAACATTGCTAAAACAAAAAGCCTTCAAGCAAAATATGTCCAGAATACTGTAGCAACTACTTCGAAAAAGTTGCGAATTCAAAAATCAATTAAGCGAGACAAACGAAAAGGATTGTTCCGAAGCAAAAAGCAATGTAAAAATAAAAAGCGCTCAGAGAAAGCATTTGCTTGGCGGGAAAGTTATGTCATACTTTAATGACTCCTTACATTTCATTTTTGAGCCCGTTACCTGAAAAGGGAGGATAATTTGAGGAGGAATATACAAAGAAATGGATAGACTTCCTATTATTTATTTATTTATTTGTGGACGCAGTGCATCTGCGCTTCATAATAAGACTATTAGGGTCACTCGTTTACTTCTTCTTCTTCTTTCGCAATAAAGAAGAATATTTGAGAGCTTGCCACCCGTGGCCATCGAACGCACGGGACTCTCGAACCACTCATGTCAAAATCTTTCTCCCTACTCCCTGAATGCGGAGCAGGAGAGCTTTCCGGAGCCAAAATAAATAGAGTCTGCATAACTGACGACGCCCCACTTAATCGGACACCCTCCACGACGCTAATGCTTCAGAGCGGGAGCCTGCAGTTTTGTAGACGAAGTGAAGTTCGAATGAGCAGATGAACTCAGCTTGTGGGAGGTGTGGCTGCGTTGAAAACTACTGTAGGTGAGGAAAGCTGATGTTTACGTCAATCCAATACCAAAGCAGCAGGAAGATTTGAAGCGAATCGTGATCAGCATGGAGGATTCGTCCCGCACAGTTTCTGCTCTTATAACTGGTAGCAGTGCAGCTTCCACTGGCCTAGGAATAGCCTAAACATTGCTCCTTCCAGATGAAGGTTGCCTCCTGTACTTACCCGCTATACACATGAAAAAAGCTTGACGACCCGGCCCAAGTCAAAACCGAGAGGATGTCCAGCTGTTCTTCACGAGTTGCCGCCGGCCTGCACAAGTGAAGGCGATGGCAGTCAACCTAGGTTCTAAAAACACATACACAACCTTTGCTGTATATTTTCGACCTTAAACGCCTTTCTATAAAAAGGAAGCCTAATTTGGAAAAGAAATGACAGAACTTTTCCGCCAACTTACTACTTGAGAGGATCCAAGTAACGCAGAAAGCTTACTTTTCCCATGTGGCCGCATTGTGTCCTCAACGTAAAAACACTGCAGAATGGACAGGGCCATGATACGTCGACAAAAGTTAGCTCCAGGTGACAGAGATTCAAACGACAGTTGTAAGATAGTCCTAATATAATAAGATTACGCGATTCTCAAACAGTAATGGATTACCCAAGAAAGAAGTGTAAAACGTTAGAACATCAATGCAGTGTTTTACATACACTATCAATCACTACTTACAGTCTAATCATGTCGCTACTTCCACAAATAAGACCCAACGCGGGTAATCACTAGAGCATTCTGCACGGCAGCCTTCAGACTTCGCGACGGCAGCGCTTCGGTCACGCGTTCGACGCGATCGATGCGCATGCTTTCGACTGCATCGATCGCGTCGAACGCGCGACCGAAGCGCTGCCGTCGCGAAGTCTGAACGCTGCCTACCGTTCCCAGCTTCATGAGAAAAGGATGCGAGATAAAGTTCTTGCCGCTGGTCAGTCCCCTTTAGAAGCAGCCGACATTCCATTTCCAACGAGTCGAGTTTGTGACCGATTCACTGACCACGGGAGTGAAAGAACTCATTGGTCATGACGAGAGCCAACCCAGCACCTCACCCGTGGTTCCGCGCGCATAGAGACGTTACTAAGTATTGAATCACTTCCGTTCTGCTCTATGTACAGTCCAGAAAGCCACGAGAAGAAATTATCGCACCTGATAAAATCGTTGTATCTCTCAACTTGTCCGATATCACCGCCTCTCCCTTTCAAGATCTGCTCACTCGTCTCAGCCATCGGCAAAGAAACGCTATGAGAATGTAAACTGATAAAGAGGGAAATTTGCGGTAATGCTGTAGTGAATGTTTCAAAAGAGACCTTCCTCAGCCCTGCAAGGATTTTCTGTCGTATTGCTGGTGTTTGTTCAACCATGTTTGTCGTTACAAACACTCGAATAAGTTGTAGATCATCATCAGAAAAATGGGTGTGTCCGGCTGAGGATGCTCACAAAGCAGTATCCATGCAGCCAACCGGACCTATTGTTCACAAAATAATGAAAAGGTTCAAATGAGGAGGTATGGAGTCCAACAAGAGAGATGCCGCTCCTATAAAAAAGGAGTTCACGGTGTGACTCCAGGAAGTGACTTCTAACCTGGACATTACAGTGTAGGACTGCATATCGCATCGTATCAAGTGGTACATAGTCGCTCCAGAATTTATATGAATCACATTTCTTATGCGATAATATCAAGAATCGGGATACTGATAGCAAGGAATCGAGGCAGTGAAATTTCAGCGAATTGCCTGAAATCAAAGCACTGGTATCCTGCTACAGTACAGAAAAGAAAAGTCAGCTTGTGTGAGTTTAGCAGCAGCTATTCCATTTCGAATGAAACGGATATAAGTAAGGGCCAAAGGTCGGTCGGGGGTACGCCGGTGGGATGATGACACTTGTGTACACGCATCGTTATGCCTTTGTTTGCTTCCTTAAAAAAAAATGTGATCAACAGAAGGGAGACAACACTGCACGCCCCTGGCACCTACTGCGTATTTACAGAACAACTTCAGCTCGCGTAGCCCTAGCTCTCGCAATGATAAAAACATTAGTTCTCCATAGTTTCTTTCCTTCCTTTTTACGCATTGGGTAAAGTTACAGCTGTAACTAACAGATCAAAAGCGTATTCACGAATATGCGAGAGGGAAACAAATAGGCAAGATATAGTAATGAAGACAGTATATAAAAAAAGTCATATCACGAGCAACAAATCACAGAAGTGAACAAGTACAAAAAAAATGTAAGAGATCAGATCACAGGCACAGAGTGACCCGGAACGATAAGTTTTACCCAAAAATGAGGGTAGCACTGTATTAAGGCACATTTCGGCCGAGCGTATGGGTAGGAACCAAGAACATCTTCATATGAGTCTTCCCCTTGACCGCATCGCGCAGGAGGGTCATCAGGCGGCGACGCTTGCTGAGCAGGTAGCCCGGTTTTTGGGAAAGCGGACTTCACAACGCCGCAAGTGTTTTCATCCAGTTTCTCAGTTCAGTTTGACATTGAACAGCAGATAGAAAGTAGTGATCTTTATCGCCAATGAAGAAGGCAGAATTTTTGATTTTAAATGGTTTTATCTAAATCTCGCTGTAGCGTGCAGTTTGTCAGTTACTAATACCGCAGCGGCGCTAATCTCGAACTTTAAAACTGTACTGTACTCCAACAGGGGAACTCAATTCAGAAAAAGTATCTGCAGGAGGGATGATCTTAACGAACTACAATGATAAAAATCACGGCGTACCTTTCATTTGCTCTATAACTAGTGGCAAAAACTCCTCTTTGAGTAGCTTTGTTCTAATTAATTTAGGAAACAATCGGTCCTGAAAAGTTAGTATCCAGAAGTAGAACAGCAAAGTAAAAGATGGAAGAAGGAACCAACCTTGACAGCATTTCTGACGTCGCTTACTTCGGAAGATAAGCAAGACAATGTAAAATTCACATGTGTAGGCCATCGATACGGGGATTCCACGAGATCAAATAATATTATATCGCTTACCTTAAAAGCAGCAAATTAACAACAAAACAAAAACAACCAAGAAATTGATAACAAACAAGAAAACCAATCAGAGAAGTTAATGAATGTCAACCGGCTTTCACATAGGACGAGCCAGAGAATCGACCGATATTGAGCGGACTTTTGTTTAAATAGGCGCCCCTCGCTCAAGATAAACCTGCCCCGCAAAATATCCCATACCAGACACTGCAAAACATATGTATTTATGTCTCCATTTAACCCATCTATTCATTAAACCTTCACGAGGAAAAGTGAGACATTATTCATAAAGTCTCTTCTTGTATATTTAGAATGAAGCTGACGTCAGAAAAAATAAAACAGAAGAAAATCTTAACCCACCACAACAGACAATGTAGCGTTGCCTATGAGAGAATAAAGTTTTTCAAGCAATGAATCTCCCATAAACTTTGTATAAGTGGAGTGAGATCGAAGCAGAATGAGCTGAACAAACGAGTGTTGAAAAGAAAGGTGAGCATAAAAAGTAGCACTTTGAAAAAAAATCAGCGTCACGAAAACATTTTGTATTTCGAGGCGACACTCGATTCCGCCTTCGAGTTATTTTGCGTTACTAGTGAGTCGGTCCATGCGCAGCCTTGTCTACAATCAAAATTAATACAAACAAATTCTGCGCAGGAAATCAAACTAATTCTTGCACCTTATTCAGGTATTTCGTTCGGTGCACGTACCCGTTCCTGTTTCTCTCTATCCCGCATTCATACTCTGCGAGTAATAGTTATCAGAAGAACCGAGTATTCGGGGAAATGTCAGTGAAAAGATAATGTATAGCGTCAGCTTTGGTGAATATGAGCGAAGGCGCTATGAAACTCAGAAGAGTTGTGTAAGGGAGATTTAGATGGAATGGGTGTCTCAATTCATGCCAATCTCCCCGTCTCGGTCCTGCTCCATATTCGCAGAAATATAGCCGGTTTTACTATAGTATTCTTGTACTAACACTTACTGTCCCACATTCGCCAAGTGCTCAGTTCTACACCAATTCCTTTCGTGCCATCCCGGTCATTCCTTTGACTCTCATTAACGGATCGACTTGCTTTTTGTGGATTCAGGGGAGCTGGGTTTGAGTGCAGTTCTCTACCAGTTGTTGCCGCTTGCCAAGCTCCAACAATAGGTGGAAAACTGGCTGGCTCCGCACCAAACCCAGCTCTTTCACACGCCACAGGAGCAGCAGGCTACACGTGTGCCCGACCTAAGCGTAAGGACCCAATCCTACTTTCCATCAGGTGTGCGGCACCGTTCCGAGCGAAGGGACGCTTCAAACATCGATCTAGCGTTTTGAGGGTTTTGCAGGCAGTTTTGAACTTTTCGCAGTTGCTCGAAAACGCTGCCGTACGCTCAAAATGCTGACGCTAAGTGCAAACGCAGCCTAGTAGCAGTTGTCGCGTGAGCTGCGCGTTCAAGCCCCTTCTGGGGTTAAGTCTTTTGCCCACTACTGGCATTCTTATAATAACTTTCCACGCGCGGATTGCGGCGCCACACAGCCCTTCCAAACAAGTCGTAATCGAGAATGATAGAGTCATGTCGCTTTTTACCCTACGTCACACTTTTTATTTATTTATTTATTTATTCATGGACATGCATAGATTCATTTAACTGCTTATGGTACGTTGCAGTACCATAAGACCGAAACTACTGTCCTTGCCACTCTATATCTCCTAGCATTAACCCAATATTTCAACAACAGAAAGGACAGTTTTTCAATGTCATCGATGATTTATATAGATTAAGGAAGAAAGCAAAGTCACATATATCACCTCATTTTGCAGTGAGCACACTGCAAGCTATGATTCGATAGGAGCATCGAGAAAATATCCACAGCTTCATGACAAACCACTTCGGCCGTGAAGTCCCACGACCGAAAGACGTAGTCAATAACAAGTTGTTGACTTTCTGCTTTTAAACTATATGAAAAATCTCTGAAAGTGAATCAATGAGCCAATACGAGGGAAACAGAAGCAACAAAATTATGCAGTTCAGTACCTAAAACCTCCCTGCAGAACTGCACTCACTGTATAATTGTAAGGATCCTTTTTATCACAGTTGAATATAAAATAACATCTTTTGTAACACCACCCGTCTTTTTGCTGTTCTCGAGGCAGGGATGAAGGCAACAATCAACAAGGAAACAAGAGTGTTCTCCATGTGGATCCAAAACAGAGGGATTAACCTATAAACACAATGAAAAATAGAATGAGATGGCTGACAAGAGAAATGAAAAACAATCAAACCGCAAACTGCGTATATGTGCTTTATTGGCACAATTATATATATTCAAAAGTGCTAATCAGAAGAAAGCCCTGTCAAACTTAAGAAGATAAAACTTACATCCAAGACCGTAGATGTATTCGAACGAGAATTTGGCCGATAACAACGGCACAGTCAGTGAGACCAAATATCACAACAATGCAAAGTTATGGGCAAAATACCGACTAAAGCGGGACTCGAACCCGCACCTCACCCTCAGGCCGCATTCATACATGCGGAACTTACGAATCGGCGAATCGCGGCAGTGACAGAATCTGAGAAACTGCGAAAAAGAATGTATGCTCGTGGATTTAGAGAATCGGCGAATTTCTTTTTTCGCTTTATACATATCCAATCTTTCTGGAGTATTATCCGATCCTTCCCATTTCGCGATTAGTAGTTTCTTCAGATCAAACCGTACACATTTCTTTTCTCGATTTCTGCGACTTTGCCAGTTCGACCATTCGTTTGTTCTATAGTTTCGCAAGCTACGGAAAGGCTTTACCGAGCCAGTTCTCTATCCACCACATATCACGCAACAGCTAGCGCATTTGACTCGCAAGCGCGAGGAGCGGACGAAAGGACTTGAACTGAGTCACAATTCAGCTCATTTTTTTGCCCGTAACTCAACACTTGAGATAACTTTCGAGGCGCGAAAAGCGGCGTTAAACAGCGATAACCAGCTAAAACAAGCACAGTTTTATTCGCTGCGTGTGATAGAGCGTGCAGTGCGGCCGGGTTCGAAGTTCGGCCAGCCCGTTCTCCATAAGTTGTTGAAAAGGGTGAGCGACTATGACACACTCCTGTTGCTCTTAGAAAGAAAAAAAAAAAAAAAAATTGACTGGCACCACGCTCAACCCGTTCTTACCCACTGACACGCCCAATCATCCGCATCGAACAAGACTGTACAGTTCACATTCTTACCCAATTAGAAACAAACATACAGAATACTAAAAGAAGAAAAAAGTATGACAAATGACCACCCTGTATGACAAATGAAATCAAAGACCCCGAGAAGAACGGAACTCTGGCTCTTTTTGTTGTGCACCACCGCCCATACTAGCATCACCTCTACTTCTCCCATGTTTTGAAAATGCTCTCTTTATTTAGTGGCTGCGGCTCTGACATAAACCGCTTGCCCGAATCTCAAGGAAGATCACTGGTTCTATAGACTTGCGCATACCTTTTTAAATAAGAATCCCATGGACGCCATGATGTCGTTGGAGCTGCCATTCGCGAGCTTGACAGGGACAGCTTCGGCCTGCTCGAGAAGGCTATTGATACCCATTTCTAAAAACCTGCAGGTTTCACTTCATAAGCAAAAGTAACTGTTGGACACCGATCGTTACCATGGATAGGAACTAGGTTTGGAAAACAAAGCTGTATAAAAGCTGCGTCATAAACAAAGTGCACCACTTCACAGCGTGAGCAGAGCACCAAAACATCCAACACCATTACAAAAATTTTTTCAAACGTTCTTTTAATCTCAGCCGGGATTTTACGTATAAATTCCTTCGGTAACTGTGGAATAGTGTACTGCGGGCGGCTACTACAATCGCACGCCTGTTTTCCTTCGCACAAGAACCCGACTAATTGTAAGACGTTCGCTTGGTAGATCTCGTTTTCCTTCCCCTAATGGACTATCATTTAGCTAAGTAGTCAAAACCAGTGCGCAACCAACATCAAGTTATCCGACAGTAGTACAAAGGCAGAGGAAGCACAAAAGTTTCCTTGAAAACGATAATGTCAAAGAAACTCTGCTGATACTCGTATTGGCCAGCGTAGAGTACATTCACTGTGCCCTATGAGCGGATGAAAACAGTCGTGGGATTACGGTAGTCGGCAGTGGTGTGCAATTACACGGCTACCCTTCGTGTATTTACGTAACATCTGGCGAGACTAGCTTTTAAATGGGAAAGCTATGGTTGCGATTTAATTATAAGTGCAGGTTGTCAGGGTGCATACAGTACCCCCGAAAACTGCGCGTGGGATTAATTATTTTGGTCGTAAGTGCACACAGCGGGGCCTACGGCCCCACATAGCCCTGGTGTGGGGTACGGAAATCTGGCCGCGCGAGCGGGTACCTCCCGGGCGGCTTGCAAACCGGGTGGTAGCCCCACCTCTGATTTACGTCCGATTGTGTGCGTTCACAACGCAACATTTTCAACTTCACGCACAATTCTCGGGGTACTGTACGCACCCTGACAACCTGAACTTATAACTAGTATGGTTGCGCACTGGTTTTGACTACTTAGCTAAATGATAGTCCATTAGGGGAAGGAAAACGAGATCTACCAAGCGAACGTCTTACAATTAGTCGGGTTCTTGTGCGAAGGAAAACAGGCGTGCGATTGTAGTAGCCGCCCGCAGTACACTATTCCACAGTTACCGAAGGAATTTATACGTAAAATCCCGGCTGAGATTAAAAGAACGTTTGAAAAAATTTTTGTAATGGTGTTGGATGTTTTGGTGCTCTGCTCACGCTGTGAAGTGGTGCACTTTGTTTATGACGCAGCTTTTATACAGCTTTGTTTTCCAAACCTAGTTCCTATCCATGGTAACGATCGGTGTCCAACAGTTACTTTTGCTTATGAAGTGAAACCTGCAGGTTTTTAGAAATGGGTATCAATAGCCTTCTCGAGCAGGCCGAAGCTGTCCCTGTCAAGCTCGCGAATGGCAGCTCCAACGACATCATGGCGTCCATGGGATTCTTATTTAAAAAGGTATGCGCAAGTCTATAGAACCAGTGAATCTTCCTTGAGATTCGGGCAAGCGGTTTATGTCAGAGCCGCAGCCACTAAATAAAGAGAGCATTTTCAAAACATGGGAGAAGTAGAGGTGATGCTAGTATGGGCGGTGGTGCACAACAAAAAGAGCCAGAGTTCCGTTCTTCTCGGGGTCTTTGATTTCATTTGTCATACAGGGTGGTCATTTGTCATACTTTTTTCTTCTTTCAGTATTCTGTTATGTTTGTTTCTAATTGGGTAAGAATGTGAACTGTACAGTCTTGTTCGATGCGGATGATTGGGCGTGTCAGTGGGTAAGAACGGGTTGAGCGTGGTGCCAGTCAATTTTTTTTCTTTTTTTTTCTCTTTCTATGTCCATCAGGATTGTATCATATCGTTCGTGTGATCGTTTTCCACCGCTTGCTGTCGCTCACCCTTTTCGACAACTAATGGAGAACGGGCTGGCGGAACGTCGAACCCGGCCGCACTGACACGCTCTATCACACGCAGCGAATAAAACTGTGCTTGTTTTAGCTGATTATCGCTGTTTAACGCCGCTTTTCGCGCCCGAAAGTTATCTCAAGTGTTGAGTTACGGGCAAAAAAATGAGCTGAATTGTGACTCAGTTCAAGTCCTTTCGTCCGCTCCTCGCGCTTGCGAGTCAAATGCGCTAGCTGTTGCGTGATATGTGGTGGATAGAGAACTGGCTCGGTAAAGCCTTTCCGTAGCTTGCGAAACTATAGAACAAACGAATGGTCGAACTGGCAAAGTCGCAGAAATCGAGAAAAGAAATGTGTACGGTTTGATCTGAAGAAACTACTAATCGCGAAATGGGAAGGATCGGATAATACTCCAGAAAGATTGGATATGTATAAAGCGAAAAAAGAAATTCGCCGATTCTCTAAATCCACGAGCATACATTCTTTTTCGCAGTTTCTCAGATTCTGTCACTGCCGCGATTCGCCGATTCGTAAGTTCCGCATGTATGAATGCGGCCTGAGGGTGAGGTGCGGGTTCGAGTCCCGCTTTAGTCGGTATTTTGCCCATAACTTTGCATTGTTGTGATATTTGGTCTCACTGACTGTGCCGTTGTTATCGGCCAAATTCTCGTTCGAATACATCTACGGTCTTGGATGTAAGTTTTATCTTCTTAAGTTTGACAGGGCTTTCTTCTGATTAGCACTTTTGAATATATATAATTGTGCCAATAAAGCACATATACGCAGTTTGCGGTTTGATTGTTTTTCATTTCTCTTGTCACCATCTCATTCTATTTTTCATCTGTGTTTATAGGTTAAATCCCTCTGTTTTGGCCCATCCCCACATGGATGAACACGCTGTTTCCTTGTTGATTGTTGCCTTCATCCCTGCCTCGAGAACAGCAAAAAGACGGGTGGTGTTACAAAAGATGTTATTTTATATTCAACTGTGATAAAAAGGATCCTTACAATTATACAGTGAGTGCAGTTCTGCAGGGAGGTTTTAGGTACTGAACTGCATAATTTTGTTGCTTCTGTTTCCCTCGTATTGGCTCATTGATTCACTTTCAGAGATTTTTCATATAGTTTAAAAGCAGAAAGTCAACAACTTGTTATTGACTACGTCTTTCGGTCGTGGGACTTCACGGCCGAAGTGGTTTGTCATGAAGCTGTGGATATTTTCTCGATGCTCCTATCGAATCATAGCTTGCAGTGTGCTCACTGCAAAATGAGGTGATATATGTGACTTTGCTTTCTTCCTTAATCTATATAAATCATCGATGACATTGAAAAACTGACCTTTCTGTTGTTGAAATATTGGGTTAATGCTAGGAGATATAGAGTGGCAAGGACAGTAGTTTCGGTCTTATGGTACTGCAACGTACCATAAGCAGTTAAATGATCTATGCATGTCCATGAATAAATAAATAAATAAATAAAATGTGTGACTTCGGGGTAAAAAGCGACATGACTCTATCATTCTCGATTACGACTTGTTTGGAAGGGCTGTGTGGCGCCGCAATCCGCGCGTGGAAAGTTATTATAAGAATGCCAGTAGTGGGCAAAAGACTTAACCCCAGAAGGGGCTTGAACGCGCAGCTCACGCGACAACTGCTACTAGGCTGCGTTTGCACTTAGCGTCAGCATTTTGAGCGTACGGCAGCGTTTTGAGCAACTGCGAAAAGTTCAAAACTGCCTGCAAAACCCTCAAAACGCTAGATCGATGTTTGAAGCGTCCCTTCGCTCGGAACGGTGCCGCACACCTGATGGAGAGTAGGATTAGGTCCTTACGCTTAGGTCGGGCACACGTGTAGCTTGCTGCTCCTGTGGCGTGTGAAAGAGCTGGGTTTGGCGCGGAGCCAGCCAGTTTTCCATCTATTGTTGGAGCTTGGCAAGCAGCGACAACTGGTAGAGAACTGCACTCAAACCCAGCTCCCCTGAATCCACAAAAAGCAAATCGATCCGTTAATGAGAGTCCGAGGAATGACCGGGATGGAACGAAAGGAACTGGTGTAGAACTGAGCAGTTGGCGAATGTGGGACAGAAGGTGTTAGTACAGGAATACTACTAGTAAAACCGGCTCATATTCTGCGAATATGGAGAGGATGAGATGGCAGAATGCATGAATTGAGACACCCATTCCATTAATCTCTTCACAGCTCTTCTGAGTTCATGCCTTCGCTCATATTCACCGAACTAAGCGTATACTTTCTTTTCACACATTCTCCGAATACCCGGTTCTTCCTAATCGGAGACTTTCCATACTCGCGGAGTATGAATGCGGGATAAAGAGAAACAGGAACGGGTACGTGCACCGAGCGAAATACCTGAATAAGGTGCAAGAATTAGTTTGATTTCCTGCGCAGAATTTGTTTGTATTAATTTTGATTGTAGACAAGGCTGCGCATGGACCGACTCACTAGTAACGCAAATACTCGAAGGGGAATCGGAGTGTCGCTCGAAATACAAATGTTTTGTGAGTGGTTTTTTTTCAAAGTGCTACTTTTTATGCTCACCTTTCTTTTCAACACTCGTTTGTTCAGCTCATTCTGCTTCGATCTCACTCCACTTATACAAAGTTTATGGGAGATTCATTGCTTGAAAAACTTTATTCTCTCATAGGCAACGCTACATTGTCTGTTGTGGTGGGTTAAGATTTTCTTCTGTTTTAATTTTTCTGACGTCAGCTTCATTCTAAATATACAAGAAGAGCCTTTTTATGAATGATGTCCCACTTTTCCTCGTGGTTTAATGATTAGATGGATTAAAAGGTGACATAAATACATATGTGTTGAGTTCTGTATTGGGTATTTTGGGGCAGACTTATCCTGAGAGAGGAGCGCCTGTTTGAACAAGTCGCTCATATGGTCAATGTAGTTGGCTTCGTCCCATGTGAAAGGGTTGACATTCGTTACTCTGATTGGTTTTCTTGTTTGTTATCAATTTTCTTGGTTGTTTTTGTTTTGTTGTTAATTTGCTGCTTTTAAGGTAAGCGATATAATATTATTTGATCTCGTGGAATCCCCGTATCGATGGCCTACACATGTGAATTTTACATTGTCTTGCTTATCTTCCGAAGTAAG